AGCGCTGGGACAGGTTGCCCAGAGAGGTGGTGGATGCCCCAGCCCTGGAAACATTCCAGGTCAGGCTGGACGGGGCTCTGAGCAACCTGATCTAGTTGAAGATGTCCCTGCCCGCGGCAGGGGGGTTGGACTAGATGGCCTTGAGAGGTCCCTTCCAACCCAAACTATTCTACGATTCTATTCCTGCCCCAACCTAGCCCCGCTTTGCAACCCTGGCTGTCGCAACCAGATGCAGAAATACAATAAACCAGCAGCGCTCTTTCAAAAAAAATATTTATTAGCTCATTAAAGTGACCTGTTGTCGCTGCTGCTGCCAGATCAAGTTTGTAGAAACCCCAACACTTCAAGCACCCGACTCCTTCCAGCCGGAGACAGTGTGAACATCGCTGCAGCCGCATGGCGCAGACGTGCCCTGAAACAGGGCAGCTGGGAGACTCGCAGCACGTTGAATAGTCGAAGGAGTACTGGGGGGTCGACCACCCCGTTACAGAACGGCTGCTCAAACCCAGCGGGGAGGGAACGGCAGCGCCCAGCTCCCGCGGGATGAGGCACCCGGCGAGATGCTGGGGACCGGCCTGATCCTGCACCAGGGTCACACCGTGTTAATAAGTGCAAGCTCCTCAGAGCGCTGCCGTTCAGCTCCTCTCTGCACGTTCAACAGTACGTCTCTGCCTTACGACATGATCTTCACAACCAAAGGGCTTTGCTTAAAAAAATCCCAAGGAATGGATTTTTTTTTTTTGGAGAAAACTAGAAAGAGACCCTAAATCCTCAGAAGCTACAGCTCTTCCCACACACCGTGTTAATAAGTGCAAGCTCCTCAGAGCGCTGCCGTTCAGCTCCTCTCTGCACGTTCAACAGTACGTCTCTGCCTTACGACATGATCTTCACAACCAAAGGGCTTTGCTTAAAAAAATCCCAAGGAATGGATTTTTTTTTTTTGGAGAAAACTAGAAAGAGACCCTAAATCCTCAGAAGCTACAGCTCTTCCCAGCCCCCTGGGTTTCCCCCTCCCCTGGGTTTCTCTCTTCCCTTCCCCCAGAAGGAGCGAGGGCTGCCAGGTGTGGCTGGGGCCCGGCCCCCCCCCGCCGCCCCCCCCGCCACGAGAGCTCCCGCTTGCTTCCACCACCCAAAGCCAGCATCACACGCAGAAGCCAACCTCCCGGGGCTTGCGCCCGCGCTGCCAGAGCCTCCTCCTGGTTTCGATGACCGCACGCATCCCATGGACAACCTGCTCTCAGCATCCCCTCTCCCTCCCCGGAGCCCCCCAGGGACGGGGGGGCAGCCGGCTGCCCGACGCCTCCCATCTGTTCATGCCAGACCCCTCGGCAGCCGGATCGGTGCCTGCTCAGCGCTTCACCTGCTTTTCCTTCGCCTCCCTGCCCTGCGCCCCTGCTCCTGCCCGCTCCTCTAACGGGTGCTGCTCCAGCTATGCCTGCGGATGAGGCAGGGCTGACGAGCTAGAACGGAGTAACTATTCCAAGAGAACAGGGGAGGAAAGCTTTATAAAAAATTAAGCTTTTTTTTTTTTCTCCTCCAAACAGGGAAGAGCATTTTTGCCTTTCCCTTCTCCGGGCATCTTTCCTCCCCCTCCTTCCCTCTGACCTGAACCTCCTCGTTACCAACATGAGCCGCTCCGAGTCTCGTTAACCCATGCCCCTCGTTACACCGCTCCTCTTCCCACAGCGCAGCCAGAGAAAAGGCAGTTCCACCCAGAGCGGCACGGCCAGCGTCCCTCCAGGCAAGTCCCCCCTTTCACTTCTGCTCCGCCTCGTCGGCCACTGCAGTCACCTCGATGGCGGTGGCGGCATGCTCGTTCCCGGCAGCCTCGGTGGCACTGGACGGGACGGTCACGACCGTGCTCCCACCGGGAGCCATTTGTGTCACGTTCTGGATGGTCGTACCGAGTCCCGGCAGCGTCAGCAGCTGGAAGGGGCTCACCACCTTCACGACCGTGCTGCCGTCCTGGACCGCGGCCGTGCTCAGCACCGTCAGGTTGGAAGCGTCTGGGTGGATCTCCACCGTACCGGGGAAGGTGGAGCCGGCGGAGGCCAGTACCGTGTACCCTCCCAGCAGTGGGGAGGCTGGGGAACTGGCGGCAGGAGGCTGGGACGGGCTCTTCCCCAGCACCGAGGTCGGGAGGGCTGAGACCACTTTGCCGAGAGGGAGGTTGGCAAGCTGGGAGACGGGCACGCCAGGGGTGACGGCGAGCTGCGCCGGCTGGGACAGGACTTGGGAGGTGATGGCAGCTGGTCCGGAGGTGGCCCTGGTCAGCCTGGGACGTTTTAAAGGTGCGGGGACGGAGACGGGCGTGAGGGTCATCAGGACATTGTTGAGATGCTGCGATTTGTGCTTCAGCTCCTTCGCTCGCTTGCGGTGCTCGTCACACTGCTGCTCCAGAGCTGGGGAGAGAGGGAGGGTTGGCTCAGCCTGGACCAGGGACAAGCTTCCCAGGGACCACGGCAATGCCTGGAGCTGGTTTAGCGTCCACCAGCTTTAACACAAACCCCACTTTCTTACGCAGAAAGAAAACAAGCTGGCAGTGATGAGAAGTGCTGGAGCACCCGCGTGCCCTGTGGGGCCATACCTGCCAAATCCCGCGTGTACTGCTCCCTCGAGCGATCCATCTGACACTTGTGGCTGGCCAGGACCTTCTTGACCAGATCCAGCATACCGAAGTTCTGGACTACGTTGTTGAGTAAAACAGCATCTTAAAAACAAGACACAGATCTTTGAGGAAAGCAAAATTCCCCAAGCAAGCTGTTCACGGCTTGGTAAAAAGCCATAGGACAGCAAACGTGTTCAGCTGAGACGGTCATAATCTGTGGAAGGGCAACGCAAGAGGCTGGGGAAGAGGAGAAGCAGAAGTCATGAGAAAGTGCAAGAGGTCACTAGTGTATAAACAGTCCTCTCCTGCTTAGCAGGGATGATAAGAAATCTGCTGGCACAGTAGCTGGTTGCTGCATCGTTATTCCGATGGCCTAAATTCCGCCTCAGTTCCCAAGCCAAGCGTTCGTCCAGACCCAGAGCCAGCAGATAGGAAGGCCCTGGCGCAGGAAATCGGAGAATTGGGGCCACCTGAAGCGTCCTCGAGCACAGCAGAGCGCCTGCCCGGGGAGCAGCCAGAAGTGGGATTTACTTATGATGAACTATGTCCCTATAGTGCCATCCAGATATCCCTAAGGAGAAAAAAAAAAAATCCACAAGCCCCTCTCCTGAGATGCCCCTGAGCGCCCGTGCCCAGGTCCTTACCACTGAGCTGCAGCGGGGGATCCTGTGCTCGCTGCTGCAAGCCCTTCATGGTCTCCACTAGCTCCTGGTGGAACTCGTGGATTACTTCTTCCAGGAGACCCGTATCCTTCAGGCCTCGCCAGAAAGCAAAGGTGTCATCTGGAGAAAGAGAAAGCAAGGGAGAACCTCAAAATCCTCGGAGCGGGGTTTTAATGGCGATCCGCTCTGGGTTCCCCTTCTGGCCCCTGCAAGGGTGAAGTCCTCCTAGGCTGTAGGTACAGGGTGCTGGGGCAAAGCCCAGCCGGAGCATGGACCCAAAGGAGGGGCAGCTGGAAAAGGACACGTTTTCCCCATCCGCTGTCACACAAACAGGACACCAGTGCTACAGAAAAGCCCGTTGCTCAGAGCACACCGCAGGAGCAAGAATGATTTTATGACCGCTCTGATTTTGTTTTTTCTTTTTTCCTAGAGCCACACCAGGCATTTGGCCTACGCTTTGACACCTTAGTGCTTAGAAACAATTTCATCCCAAGACGATGGTGCGGTCAGACTGCACACAGGCAGGATATAACGCAGTGCTACGCGCCGGTAAGTGCGAGTAATCCCAGTGGAGGCTCAAGCAGGGCTGCTCTGGCAAGAAGGGTCCCGCTCCTTGTCCCTGTGTTTTCCCTCTTCCCCTACATCTCCATCCTCTGCCCCGGCTGCGCTGAGCCCGGCAGGATCCCAAGCCGTACCTCCGATGCTGGTGCTCCAGTCACTGGCATCCTCACACGTTTCTATGGTAATCGTAGCCGGGGATCCGTTCACTGCAACCAATAGCAAAAAAGAAAAGAAAAAAAAAAATCCCAAGTCCTGATTTTTCTCTGTATTTTTCACGGGCTGTTTCTGAGGGAAGCACTCCCTTGCTGCATTTCTGTGACTTCTCCTTTTTATGGCACAGGAGTGCTTTTATTTGAACTTAGCTCTCAAAGCTGAACGGAGAGAGACTCCCAAGTGGCTGGTGAAGCTGCATGCGGTTGCTGTGCCAGCAGTACTTATTTTTCCACATTGGAGTGCAATACCCCGGGGATTACTTCTGCAACCCTTGCGCAAGAACACAGGCCCACGAGCAGCATTTCCCTCCCGTTCCCCCCTGCATACACACTAGTACTGCTTAGGGCGAAAGTCAAACACATTTAGAGTCTGATTTTTTTGGCAATCCTTTTTTGCCCAGCTTACAGTTCGCAGGACTGGGATGTCTGGAGGGTTTCTAAAGCCTCGAAGGGGAGGGCAACCCCCCGCTGCGCAGGGGTGCAGGGGGGCTCCCTCCTTCCCTCCGGCTCTGCCAAATCTCAGCGGTTTTGTTACCACAGAGCCGGGGGAACCAGCGTCATTCGAGCCGTGCGCAGGAGCGGGATGAATGGGAATCTGGCCAGAGACCTGCGGTGCCGTGCGGAGCGTTTGTAATGCTCAGCCGCTGCCATTAAATCCAATTACTCTGCTCCTTTACTCTGCAGCCTTCAGGGCTCTGGCTATCCCAGTGCAGTCCAGCGGCGTGGGAAGTGTCTCCCCGTTAGCGAGCTGATAGCCACGTTTAACGGGAGGGCTTGGGACAGGCTGCGGCTCTGGAGGGGGAGGCTCCACCGTGCATCGGCTCCCCCACCACAACACCGGGCCGTGCTGCCGAAGGCACTCCGCAGGGCCGGCCAAGGGGCTCACCCTGTCCTTGCTCTGCTCCCACAGACACCATCAGGAGCTTGGGGTGTGGGGCTCTTTGGGGGCTGTTCTTCACTCTCAGAAATGTAAAAGTACTTAGAAATTAGAAAGCTTTCCAATAAAATAGTTGCCTGTAATTATAGGTCAAATTAAGTTTAGGGCTACAGTTATGTGGCCGCAACATCATTTAAATCCAGTTTTATAAACCACATGCATGAGTACAGACAAAAAAAATCTGTTGTATCCCCTGGTTCTCTTTAATCTTTCATCAGACAAACCCAGTAATAATTCAGCCAGGGAGCCTTAAATGAAAATCCCTAAATTATTCTGGAAGAAGTCAGGTTAGAGCGGGGGGGAGGAGGGACTCCTACCCTGGCACCCTGTGCAGCAGGAGAAGCCGGGCTGATCCCTGCCTCCCGGGACGAGCACTACGGACACAGTGCCTGACCGGCAGCGAGGACAGAAGGGAACTTCATCAAGCAACGACTACTGTTTTCTTACAGATTAATTGCAGTCTTCTGCTTCAGCTACACAGTTTGGGGTAAGGCAGGAGGCCAGAAGGGCGGCTCTTCGGGTCATGCAGTGTTACAGAGCAACTAGGTGAGTTATTGCATCTCTGCCGAGATACTCTAACAACGACTCTGCCTAGCTCTGCTATGGGGAATCCTGCAACAGAGCAGGGAGAGAAAGCAGAGGATAAAACAACCCACAAGGCCAAAAAGAGAGGCAACCGTAAGGGGCGCTGGTTACGCGGCATTCGTTGTGCTTTAATGCTTCAAAGCCCCTGTTTAGGGTGTGAGGAATGGCTGGATGTACCATCCGCAGAAGCAGGAGTGAGAGGGATGTACTCCGTCGATGTCTGGCTGGTCAAGGACACCCTGGCTCCGGTCAGGTCGATTTTGGTGCTCCGGCAGGTGTTGGAACAGACTTTCGTGTGCTGGTAGAAATCCAGCTCCCCCGAGTCCATGATCTTCCTGAAAGACAGGGAGCAAGCACAGGGACAGGCACGTCAGCGGGAGCAGAGAGCTCCAAGATGCAGCTCCTGGCAGCCTTCACCCCCAAACTTCTCAAAGTCCCAGATGAAAAGCAAAAGCCAGGAGAGCAGGCAGAGGCAACAGTCTGAATTTTCCTTGACAAGTCCCCCTGTGTCCTGACCTTAGAGGCAGCATTAACTAAGAGTTAATTAGAACAGCATCCACAGCCTGCTCCGTGCTGGCCACGCGCACAAACCCAACAACCACGCAATACTCCAGTGGTGGCAAAGCCTTTCAGGAGGCTGGGATGGGGAGAAAAAAGCCCGTCGTGCTGTAGCTGCGGTAAAGGACTGGAGCAGATTCGGCTTCTGACCACTTCCCTGCCACATCCCGCATCCTCCTGCAGGCTGGAGGAGGGGGAGCGGGACTTCAGCCCTCTGAAAAGGTTCCTCTCCAAGTCCAACCCAGAAAGGATGAATTTCCTTAGGCCAAGAAAGTCCTTTTCTTCGCCACTGGAGCACTCAACTTGGTCTGAGAGGCTCAAAGGACACATGAGCTTTTCCTAAGGATATATCCCTGTAAAACTAAACATACCTTGAGAAGCATCGGGACAAACCACACTGCTCTCAGCAGATCTGCTGGCTAGAAGCCTTCAGGGGAAACGTACCGTTCAGAGCCCAAACACTTCCACTCCCGTAATGGCAGTGGAGCGGGGAGACCTTTTCCCCATCACCCTGGGCCACGCTCCCATGCAGCAGTTTTATCCCTGCCCTGCGATGGTGAACAGGGTCCTCCTCCCTGGGATCTCCCGACCTACTCTGAGGACACCCCCCGCCTTTGTACGAGCGGCACACACCTACCCCGAGCGTGACCACGCATCCTTGGGGCTCCCCGTGGCAGAGGCAGAGCTGCCCCATCCTGCTGCTCTGCCGCCTCCTAACAGCAGGGCAATGCTTGGCCTCCAAACAAGCTGGTTTCAGAGCTGGTCCCACCTCTCCGAGCAGGCTCTTCTGCACGGGGGTCTGTAATTTTAACTAGGAACCCTCGCTGGGACTGATGAACTCCTGGTTCATTTAGGGAGGAGGGAGGAAGGAGAAGAGAAGGTCCCAGTCTGGTCCCACCAGCACCTTCCCCTCGTGCACGCCTGCAGCTTCTAGGAGAAGGGTTGGCTGAAGTCTCAGTCCAGGGCTGAGACAGTAAGAAGTCTCTTCCTTCCCTTTTTGACTCTACACCTCGTAAAAAGAGATGGGGCATAACCCTATTTATCAACTAAAATAAGGTCTCTCGGCTTAAGCAAATGAGGTTGCAAGATTGGCATATGTGATCTTCCCAGTCTAAGCAAGATGTCTCCAAGGCATCACCAGGCTTTGCTGACCAAGACCAACCTGAGCTTCCCAAGATTTGCTCCCATGGGCTGCTGGGCTTGCCTTCACACATCCCTTGTGAAGTCTTTTTTTTCCTTAAAAGACCTGCCTTGCCAAAGCATAAGCCTATTATGCAAAATCTACGTGGAGCAAAAGCTGCTTAGAAGGAATACGGGAGACGCCTGCATTGAAGCAGAAGAACACAGGCAAAGGCAATGTCACCCTGTGACAAGAGCATAAAGCCACTGACAATTCCTGGGGAAAGAGGTGATGCATTTTCATCCTGCCTACAGGCAGAGACAGACTTTAATTAAATCACGGTCTCAGGCTGGTGTTCAGGAAGACCACAGAATTAAATTGCTGTAGGTAAGACCAGAGAAGAGAAATGCTTGCATAAATAAGCTTTAAATAAGCTCTTGGCAAAAAATAAAGCGATATAAAGCAGACATACTGTAACGGGAGCGTTAGTTCATGACCAGACTTCCATTTGGTAGGTCACACTGAGAACCCATAGACAGCATGGCCCAACCACCACTGGCCATTAAAATTTTCAATGACCTTATGCCAGCTGGGAACTCGGTGTCCTTCAAGTCCTAAAAAGACCGGGGAAGCATTTGTTGCCCCAAATTATTCCCTAGGCACAAGGATAAAGCAAAGCAATTGGGCAGACCACATTTGGGGCCAGGCTCTTAAGACAAACGTTCAGTGGCGCATTCGCGCTCTCAGCAGCAGAACAACCGTGCCAGAGGCTCTGTCCCACCCCGCCGTTAGCCCCCAGAAAGAAGAAGTCTCCGCTGTTGCTCTGCAGATACAAACAAAGAGACTAACCGGAGCATGATCCCGTTCATCCGGATTGCCCGCTTCCAATCCTTCAGGGTCGACTTGCCCGCCAAGTGGACAAACTCCTTGGGACTAATTAGGTGACCGTCAAACTGCAAGAGGCAGAAGTGCAGCATCAGTGCGACAAGCCATAAAATAACGAAAGCGTGCCCCGCGAGCATGATTCAGCAGCGGAGCCAGGCTGCCCGGATGGCATTTCCCCGGTGCCCAGCAGTGGAGCTGCATCACAGCCTCAACGTGCTGTTTAAATAATAGCACCAAAACAGATGGCTGACACGCACTTCCCCACCTGAGAGCGCGTTGACCGAGTTAAAAAAAATTAAAGCCAAATATTTCTTTCATGGATGGTTTGTTAACAGCTGCTCAAAGCCAAGGGTTTGGGGGGGGTGTGTGTGTGTGTGTGCAGCACAGAGGAGTTCGCTCAATGCCCAGCCCAGGCATAACAGCTGGGAAAAACACCCGTAGCTTGTGCAAGGTATGGGCGAACAGCAGCGAGCTGCTCACGCTCCCACTAATGAGCAGACTCGCAACAAAAGCCGGGCTGCCGCCGGTGACGTTTGGGTCCAGGGGCACGCTACGCCCCACGCAAGCGAGGGAAGGAGAAGCCCGTTCGCTCTTTGACCTCCTGCTACCGAGCCCAACCATCGGTATCAGTGAAACCTCTGGCCTCTCCCACAGCACACACCCACTTCCACTGAAAACCAGCTTTAGGGAGTTGGCATATACTGTATCAGCAGCCAGCTCTTCCCTCTTCCCTCTTCTTTTATTGCCCTACACACCCAGTTGTGCCTGAAGCCATGAGCTGACCTAAAAGCAACCTGCAGAATCAGGCAGGCCTCTAAAAAGCTGCTTTACGGCCCATCGCAGAAAGGATTTCCCAAGTCCAGGCTTCCTCTTTTCAATGCCCACGTTGACCAACATAGAGCTCGCTCACCATTACTCATGAGAAACAGCTTCTCTGAACAAGTGCACGGGCTTCAGTGCAAAGAGAAGACCGATTTTAGGCAGCAGCAGCATCATCTGCAGCAGTACCTGTCCTCTGCCTCGGGGATGGAAAAGACCATCTCTCCTATGAAGGGCAAGGACCATCCTTTGGAAAGCCCTCTTGCAACGGAGCCCAGAGGAGACACTCCCTCAGCAGGGTATTGTTGAGTCCATGTATAAATGCCAGCGACGCCTTACGACGGCATCACACACGGTATGGTCCTGGAAATGAAAGTTTGGCCCTGCTCCCCAAATTCATGCAAATTTTAACCATTCAACCTATTCAATAGGTCCCTTACCCATAATCTTCTCAACAACTTCACAACTTCCTTTCAAACTGAGCAGACACTGGAAGTGCCCAAATTTCTCAAACTCTCCAATAATGCAGTTAAATTGAGGCAGCACCTCTCCACCCAGGACTGCCCAACTTGGCCGAGAAGACAAGTATCAGGTACAACAGTACCAAGAACGTCCTCCTCTCCCACCGTGATGTGGTTCTGATGCAAAGCAGCTTACCAAAGCTCATCAAAACCAGGACAAGCCAGGTGCGCCTGCAACGTGGGCACGGGAAGGCACGAGTCCAGCCTCAGGAACCTTTATTCTCACCTGCACACACTTCACGTTGATCCCAGGGCACACAAACTTTCTCCAGATGAGGTTGGCTTTGCTGTCCCCGCAGGTGATGGGGTAGACAATCTCTGCCTCCAAACTGTCCTCATCTTCAGCCATCTTCACTTCTCACAGGGAACAGAGGAAGGGACAGATCAAAAAGAAACGTGAGTCGCAGCCCCCGACTCACCACCCTGACGCACACATACAGTGATAAAGCAGTTTTGAAGCTCAGGATTAAAAAAAAAGAAATGTAGACGATGCCTGGTGGGGTGCGTTGGGGTTTGCGGCCACCATTCACTTGCACTTTGCTACTAAAGCATCCAACCACCCAAATTCTCAGGCAAAACAGTGCAGGCAGATTTACACCGATCCGGCCACAGCTGAGCGTGTGAAACCTGAGAAGTCAGTGGCCAGGGCTGAAAAAATTCAATTCTGGATAAAAATGAAAGGAATGATGTTGTTCAGGTAATTACACATTCACCTTTGGTTTTAGAGCGCAACTGTTTTTAAGGTAACTCCATCCCAGCTGGTTACAGTCTTTGCTCACTAAATTCACTTTTACTTGTAACCAAAGCCAGCGAGTTTGCTGCAAAACTGACATCCCCATCGCAAGCCGGAAGGGCAGGAGCCAGTGACGGCCAGACACGGGGTCTCATCCTGCACCAGGAGAGGGCAGCAGCAGCCCAGCCAGCAGCTGCCAGCTCCCTTCCCACCACCCAGCCCCTGCAGCTCTCCGGCCTCCCCTTGATGCTGGGGAGAGCATCCCCAGGGCCATCTGCACAGCAGCGGCCGGACCCCCTCGGCCGGCACCAGCGCAGGGGTGGTGGAGCTGGCATGGCTGAACCGAGGGGCTACGGCACGGGCTGAACCTACCTAGGACTGCTTCCTTCAGATGCGTGGAGGCTGTAAAGGCAGCAGCAGCCGCAGCAGCTGCATTTTCGGTCTCCAGCGTGTCTTCGTTTATGTCACCGCTGGTAAGAGAGTCGGAGAGGCAGAGTTAAGCCACGTGGATGTGCCACCCCCGACGCCCCATGGAGACATTGCTTCAAAAGTCACTCGGACTACATTTTCCCCACAAGAGCTAAAAGTCAGCTCTGGTTTTGAGAGGCTCAGCTCCGTTCTTCCGTAGGGAGGTGAAGAGCCCCACAGCTGGCAGGACCGCTGCTGGCAGCCCAGCCGGCTCTGCCTTGCCTCCCTTTTAACCCCAGCCCCACCGAGCTGCCTCCGGCGCAGCCCGTGCAGGGGAGCTGGCGTGGAGGGATGCTGTCAGCACGGCCCCTCGCTCAGAAGTTGCCGCCAGCCTCTGGCAGCTTCGCCTGAGAAGATTTCCCCAGGAAAAACACACGCGAAACACGCTGCCGCTGTCTGGGCGATGGATTGCCTGAATCTGCCGGTATGCAGGATGCTCCCAGGAGCAGGACCTCAAGGAGCCACAAACACGCTATAAAGGAGCTCGACAAACCCTAACAGCAGATCCATCAGCAGAGATAACATAACATGAGCTACAGACCCTCGCCATCCAATCTCTGAGCCTCTTACAACTCAATATACCCATGATATTAACTAATAGCTGGCTATCCGACTGTTTTCATCCTCCCCACCCCGGAGATCTCCAGCTTCTCTCGGTGCTTTGCCGATGGAGAGGCACAGCTGGTCCTGCACAGCATCTGCACCCTCACTGCTCGCCCCTTCCAGCTCTCACTGCGGCATACAGAGCCCCAAGCCCCTCCAACGAGCTTCGGTGCGCGTTCAGACGGGAAAGGCATTTAGGGCTGTGATCTGGGACACGCTCCTCACCCCCTCGGCTGCGAGGGTTCCGGATCCGACCTGTGCATCACGGCCAGCTCTCAGCATGGACCATTCCTAATGGGTTTTAAGATGTGCGTTTGGTTTTGTTATTGAAGGTGTCTAATTACTGCAGCAAGCTTGTCCTGCAGGGGCGGGGAGGGAAAACAGTTAACTTTTCACACACTTCAGCATATAAACTTCCTAAGGAAGACTGTAAGGAGAAAACAAACCTGAAATCTACCCCAGTTTGGTACCACAAGTGAATTAAAAGAATGGTCCTAGTGACTCACCGGCAACCACATTTCCCACCCGCGGTGCCACCGGGACAAGCAAATTCAAGAGCGACTGGTTTTTCCATCCTGGCCCCCTAACACACAGCTCCGGGGCGGAACTGCAGCTTCAAAGCACCCCTCCCCTTGCCAGCTGCAGGGCAGGGACCTGATGGGGAGCAGCAGCGAGATAAGGGAACCCGCGTGGGCGGCAGCTCAGCCTCACCAGGTGAGAAACTCGGGAGATGCTGCTTCAGAGAAGTGGGAGCTGAAGACAGCCCCAGCTGTGGAAGAAAGGCACCGCGGGATGTCACGCTGCCTCTGCAGCTCGCAGCCACCAACAACCCAGACCCCTGGGAGGGAAAGGCGGTGGATAACGCGGAAGGACTCGGAAAGGTAAACTCGGAGCTAACGCATTTGCACACGGGTGAATATTACAGAAGTGGCAGTTTGACACGAGAAAAATGGAAGAACTGTAACCTGGTTTTTCTTCACCAGTTTGCCGCTTGGTTCTTGCATTGCTCCAGATGCATTCGGAGAAAAGCCAGCAATACCACTTCAGCAGGGTGCCAGGGCTGCAAGAGGCGGCAGCCACCTCCGACATGCAAAGCCCAGCACTCCACAGCCCTGACTCTGACCTGCCTCCGCCTGCCACCGGATCAAAAACCTCCACCGACTTACCTAGAAGCAGCACCCCAGCAGAAAGCCAGCGCCTGAAACAGAGCTTCCTCCAGGAGTCCATCGCATTCGCGCCGCTCCAAAAAATGACCCCAAGACGTGGTTGGACTGGGAGAAATAACCCAGCCCATGTCTTAAACCCCATCCTCCAGAGAAACAAACCAACCAACTTCAACAGCTTGCATGAAAAATTCGAACAACTAAAGCCTGAGTCTGCCATGGAGATGTAACGAGGGGGGGGGGAAGAGAAAAACCACAGGAAAAGGTGAGTTTCTCCACGCCGCTTCCCCCATCCCATTCCAGAGGAACAGACTGAGGCAGATGCAGGAGAAAACTCAAACACCTTCCAGGCCCCAGCGGTGCATCCCACCGAGCCGGTCCTGCCTTCACCGGTTGCCATGACGAAGCCGGGGGAGGACGGCTCTCATCTTCCTCCCCGGGAGGATCCATAAACCAGATGGGAGGAAGGGAGAAAGCGCGTGCTGATAAAGCAGCGGGCTTGTGTCTCCTTTCTCCTCCGCTCCTGCCTCGCCTGGGAACTTGAGAGGAAAAAAAAGTCTCCACCAGAAACCTGCGCTGGGGATGCTGATCAAAATCACAAGCACCTCATCAGAGCGTCAAGCACAGATCCCTCCCGATCGCAGATGGAAGGGAAAAGCTTCTTGCCGATTATTACTATTTTCCCATTTCCCTCTGCCTTTTCCAGTCAATCTTAAAACACATGAACTAATTAAGCTCTTAAAAAAAAAAAATTATGCAACCAATGGTTAAAAGAGCAAAACCATACCCAAAGGAGCACTAGAAAAAGGCATCAACCCCCAAGCTGAGCTTGGTTTCCAAGCGCCACATAAGACAAGTTGAAAGCCCGCTTCCCGTGCGAGCGGTGACCGAGCCAAAGCCGAGGAATCCCAGCCCGTGCTTGCAGCCGCTTTCCTCACGCCAGCTGGGGCTGCAAAGGGAAAACAGAGGGAGAGGGAGCCAGCGCCGCTACGGCGTCTCCCTGGGAGGAGCGAAACCCAGCGGAGGCAACCGTCCAAGGCTACGGAGAGACCGCGGGTGGCTCACGCTGCCGCCCACCACCAGCCCCACAGCCCTGCTCGGCGAGGGGAGTCCCAGCAGCCGGCGCAAGGGGAGTCGGGCGGGCTTTGCTCCGCAAGCCCGAGAACCACATCCTTCCCATGGACATGCTGCCGTCCCGGAGCACGGGGGAGCGAGGAGCCTGCCCACCGGCCCTTCTCCAGAGAGCTGCATGGAAAACCCTCAGGGAATCTCCTAATGCCCGCTAAGATATACTCCGCTCGTAGCTGCGATTACAATAAAAATCATCCTCTCTCTGCTGTGTAGAGCTGTCCTGCTCCTGACCATCCAGGGGACACTGGGAAGATGAGAAAAGGTTTCCAGAGAAAAACAGAAGAGGAAATAAGATCAAAAGGAAATCAAACTGATTGAGCCAGCCTCTGTCATGATCCATGTTCCCGGACAACGCTGCGCTGCTGCACTTGGGTCTGCAAAGGCTCGGAGCCACATTAAAACCAGAAACCGTTCTGCATCCAAGAAAAGCCACATCCCAAGTTTCACGTCTGGCTGCTTCTCCACCGAGGGAGCTAAGGAAGTCACCGTGGGCCAGAAAGCAAGAAGAGCGGAGCCTTTCTTCCCCACCATCACCCGCTCTTTCGGGAATGGAAAAGGCTCTCGGAAGCGCTCGCAGACCCGGGGTGTGGAGGAGGAGTGGGGCAGCTCCTGCCCACGGCGTCCCCACCGCCTGCCCCAGCGCTGACGGCTCTCGTCGCTGCCCGTCCCCTACCAGAAGTTCATCTGTTAATGAGCTTTACACCAGTTACAGCAGAACAAGGGGAATGGCGCCCGTGCCGTAATGTAAAAGCTGTGCCCTGCCCCGAGCCACAGGGAACCGACACAGAAACAGCAGGGCATACTTGAGGAGAGGAGACAAATGTCTCCTTTTTGTGGAGAGCAATAAGCAGCCGCTCGCTACCCACTTATTTCAAGTGCAGGGACTCCTGGATCAGACAAACCTGCCCGGATCCAGCTCCGGGCGTGAACTTGGATTTTTCTGCCCACCAAAAGAGCAAAGCACTAAAATGTCTCTGGGCACCGTCCCACAAAGGACTGTAGAGAAATAAAGCAAAGAACCCGCCGCTACACGGGCCTTCAAGGTACCAGCCAGGCACTTGGGCCGTGGAAGCAAAGACTTGACCGACCTGCAGCCGAACAGACCAGACCTGAACGAGCAGCAGTCCCGGATCCGAAATGCCAACAAGAAAGGCAGAAATTGGGCAAAGCAGCAGCACTTTACCAATCGGACACATTCACTCTGGTTTTTTGAGCAGTGCCTCTCCATTCAACTCCGCGTGGTTTCAAGGCCACCTCTCTCGCTCCTATTGCCGGCAGCGGAGGTTCCTGCAGAGCTCTGCCGAAAAACACGGCCCCAAACCCGCCTTGGGAAGAGGAGCCCTGCTGCACCGCACTCACCACGCCACGGACAGACTCATCTCTTGGAGGTACGCAGCTTAGTGAAGCAATCACGAAATAAATAGCAGAAAAACATTGATTTAGCTACTGGTGTCCTGTTCCACCCAGATTTGTGTCCATTCCAACATCCACATCCACTCAGAAAAGATGCTTTGGTTTGGTTTTGGGGTTTTTGTTGGTTTTGGGTTTTTTTTAAAGACATTTTCCCCCATCCATCCAAAACAAACTGTTGCATTGCTTTTTATTCTGGGTAGCCCCAGCTTAAAACCACCGGTGGTAACTCAGCTTTAACAGAAGAGGTGGAGCCTGCTCTGCTCTGTAAGCTCGGAGCTGCAGAGCCCACAGCCCTGGGCACGGCCCCAGGGGCGTCAGCGAGGACCTAACGAGGAACCGGGGATTGCCCAGACGTCGCTGAGGTCCCCACTGTGAGAAGTGACGCAGGAGTAAGTAGTAGGTGATTAAATACACCCAGCCCAGCCGACTACGACCACGGGTGCGAGGTTTTCCAGCACATCACCTCGGCGTACGCCGACCCCGTCTCTTACCCGTGCTGGGACAGGTTGGTGGTGACCAGCACCGTTTTCACCTCCTCCACGCCGCCTCCATCCACCGCGCCGTCAGGCGTTGTCACCACCACCACCTCCTCCATGTGAACGCTGACGTCCGGCGTCGCCATCGCGAGGCAGGAGCGGGCAGCGACGGGCAGCCAGGCGGGAGAGCCCTCGGTCACCGGCTGCCTGCGGAGAAACGAGGGGAAAGTCCCATGTGAAAAGGTCTCTCTGCTAAAATCGGTCGTGGAAAGACCATCGGTGCGGTGGGAGCAAGGGGGCTGCAGGGAATCCGCGCTCCTAAGGAGGTGGGGATTAGCAAATCCCCAACCCCTCCATCCCAAGAGGAGGGATGAGGGGAGGCTCGTAACCCAACAGGCGCTCTGCAGGCTGGGTGAGGGCGATGGGCACGGGAAGGGGCAAGGGGCAGGAAGGGACTGGGGCGCAGGTGGCGAGGGGCAGAGTGTGGGAGCGGATAGCAGGCAAAAAAACGGTCCTGGCTTTCACCAAAAACTCTACGAAGAGACACAGTTTGAAGGTGCGTTTCCAAATGTATTTCAAACTATCTCAGAAGGATTTCAACGCTGTTGGAGGAGCTCAACACTGTCTCCTCCATGGCAGAAACAGGGACCCTCCTCTCCTCCAAAGTCACACACAAAAAACCAAATTAAGAAAGCACTTCAAGCCTGCAGAAACAAAGTGACATCTGAAAACTATTTCAAAGCGTGTGTTTCTAAGAAATCAGCAATAGATTTAAGACAGCATTTAAAACTGACTTCAGTGCCCACCCCTGCAAAGCCAGTATTTCATGTGCAGGAAGAAACCTGGGGGAAAAACCCCAACCAACTAGTTAACCAAAGGCACAAGAGCCATCCACCTCTACGCTCTCACGGTTGCGCTACGTCCCCGGCTGCTCCAGCCTCCATACCCAGAGCACAACGTAACTCACGGGGGAAAAGCCCCGGTCCCCCGGGGACACCATCGCCCGCCTCTCCTGCCAGCTTGCGCCCTGCGACTGAGCCCGTGCCTGCTTTCCCGGGGATTTTAGGTAACTGTAGAATTAAAAGCAGTTTTAAGCCATTCAAGCAATGGGAGAGGAGAGGTCCAAAATGGAAATGACTATCCTTTACCCACACATACGTATACACGCACGCATGAACGTCCTCCCAACGCCCGTGTTACTGTTCAGGTTACAAGGATGGTGCGATAAAATTAGCGTACGCAATTTAGAGCCACAAAACCGTTTGCAAATCAGCCCGAGTGAGCCACGCCTGCATTTCCCCCCCTAACACCCGAGCAGCACCCACTTGCACCCTAACGCCCAGATATTGAGGGTGACTACAACGCATCTCCTGTAGTGCTGCACCGATATCACCCATAGCGCCAGCGCAGCCTATACAGGGGCGCAGCTGTGCGAGTGCTCCTCTTGTCACTCTCCGGCCGTTCAAGCTCGGGCTCCTACGGGGCAGCGCCGCCCGGGCTCGAGCCGAGAGCCGCAGGGCAAGCTCCCGCCCTGCTCACGGGTTTGTTTTCAGTATCACCTGAGCAGGACCAGAACCGCTGCTGCTCCTCTGCAGAGCTTTATTTCAAGCCGAGAGCTTGCTCACGCCAGCCCGCGTGCCGCTTTCATCACGTGGGAAAGCGGCAAGGTGGAAGAAATTGATTTTCCTGAAACTTGGGGTTCCTCAAGCAAGCGACACCCCCACCCACGTACACGCAGCAGCACCTTTGCCCTTCCCGAAGGAGTCGCGTTCCGGAGCGGTGGCACAGAGCGCGGTGGGGGAGCCGCTTGGCTCCCACCGCCTCCCCTGGGCCACCACCGGAGCCGTGCGCTGACCTGAGGTGTCTGACCTGACTTTGCAACGTGATTCGTGGCCCACAGAAACTCCTGCCCCGACCCACGCGGACCCCATGAGATGATCTTCCCCTCCACAGAGGCCACGGGGCTTATCCGAGCCGAGTAGCTGAAAGGTGGACGGGTCCCTACGAGACAGCCCAGCGTGAAGTCACCAACCGAATCGGCTCCGTTTCTGCAGCAGCAAGGAACAAAGCGAGGGCGGCCGGACCAAGGGCAAGGCGAGAGAAAGAGGAGGATTTGCCACAAACCAGCATTTTAACGATTGCAGAAGCGGGCAGGGTTGCAGCGTGCCAGCCGCACGCCTGCTCCCTGCTTCCCCTCGCTCCTGCACCGGGCCGGCAGCTCCCGGTGGCAGCCGCTGCCGTTTATCGGGATAAAAGCCTGCTGGGTGCTGCACATCGGTGAACGAAGATGCAACACACAGCGCAGCTGCTCGGCTGCGTTCAGTTTAACTGCTGCAATTTTTTGTTGTTGTTGTTGTTGCTCTATCCCTACACCTGTCTTTCGTTTTGGGGTAAAACCCTTCCTGCAGCGTTAGCGTCACCCGCCACGGCCTCTGCCCAGGTACCCGGTTTCGGGACGCTCCGGACGTCCCGCCCAGCTCCCACCGGGGCTGGCGGAGGGTTGGCTGCACGGGCACCGCGGGAAGGCTTGAACTCCACGAGCGCGTGTCGCTCAGGTACCTTTGGGCAGGAACCAGTGTGGGATGGAGAAAAACCGGGCTGAAAACACAAGTAATCATCAGCAGTGGGGCGCAGCGGGGCGGCTGGAGGGGGACGAGGGCTGGCAGGGAGCACCCCAGCTCTACCAGGGCTCCGCGCACCCGTGCGCGTCCCTCCCGGTGCATCTTGGATGGCACTGAGCAAGCTTCAGTGGCTGCAGGAAAGATTTGGGGGTGAGGCAGGGA